TGAGTAACATCAGGTAACACTTCAGAACTTATAAGTAACATTTTAACTAAGCCATCAATTGCTAACAATCTTTTAGTCAGTAATATTTCATTTTCAACAACAGTATGCAATTTTGTCAATAGCGCACGAACTTCGAGGGAACATGTGTCAAATGAATCCCAATAACAATCTGTAACATGACAATAATAATTAAAATGGATACATATTTTTTTTTTTTGTGTTAGATAAATATTATAGAAATCTTTGCTACCTCTGCATTACTGTAATAGATATGTTAAAATTAAATTCGATGATATTACACTCACCAATAACTGTTGAAGCAACATGTGTCAATGTTTTGGATAACTTTCTAACTCCAATATACCGAACAATAAAATTCAATAAAAACGCTAATTGTTTTGAAGTTCTACCAGATATTGCTTGCACTAAACCATTTCTCCTAAACATTAAAAAATAATAATTATTGATTGATAATCAGTAAAAGATTAATTTATGATATACATTTTAGGACTTTAAAAATAAACAAAAAGCAATATGTTCAATCAATATGATTAATTGAATTTTAAATACAAGCCAATTGATACTTCTTATAAGAAGAAAAATAATTTACACATTTACCTGCATAATTCATCAAATACATAAACTGTTATATGTGGTTTTTTGAATGCAACTGCATGAACCAAGACTAAATCTAATGCTTGGCTATAATTAAATTTCCTTAGAGCAGTATCAAATTTGCTCATCTGATCAGGTTGCATTATTGGAACACTTATATCAATACCGTCAGATTGAACAATTGCTGCAGCTCTAGCTTGCCTCTTTTTATTTTCATTATTATGTTTCACAGATGTGTCACGTTTAGTTATGTTCACAATTCCATCCACAGTTCCAGCTACAATTGTTTTGTCATCTCTCTAAAATACATACACAATATTAAAGCATTTTGCTAGTTAATTATCAAGTTCATAAATTGATCTTCATAAAAAACATCAGTTTTAGTATTTAGAAAAAGGAATTGTTGAGCTATACAAATATATAATAAATTATATGCATTTATAAAAATTATGGAACCAATTAATAATCATAAATTCATAACACATAATTAATAGACTAATAGACTTAATAGAAATATTATTTCAAAAATATAGATTAATTAGTTTAACTTACCTAAAAATTATAAATTTCATAGCAATAAATTATGAATCAAATTAATATTACTAATATTAATAATAATATACTAAAGAAATATGATCTAATAAAATTATGATTTAGTTTAGTCAAATTGTATAGTTTATTTTATTATCAATATGAAAACACTTTATATCAGTATTCCCCAAAATGATGTCATTGCCAGTAGCAACTATAGGTGTCCCACTCTTTTGCTCATTATGCACATCATAATGTTCTTCTAAAAATGCTAAATTGAATTTACTTTGTTTTAAACTGTAAATTAGATAAAAGTTTATGTTTCACAATTGATAAACTTCTTAATGGAAAATATAAGGAAATTTTAGGTTTAAAAAAACTACTACTAAATAAATTGAAAAAAGTAATGTCAAAATAATAACAAGAATTTGTCAGCACAATTCAATAAAAAAAAATTCAAATAAATGTCATTTGTTATAATAACATTACTTTTAGTCTAAAATTGGATAACATTTTTAGAAAAGCTTAATTTAATTCATATTTTATTTAATAAGATTAGATACTTACGCTTATATCAATACTAAGTACTGCACTTGGATACGTAATATCATGTGACAGTTGGAATGTTGATACATTGTAAATCTTAACATGCTTGTCTAATGAGGCAGTTACAATAGCTGTACCTTGTTTAGCTAAGCATAACGCAGTTACAGTCTTATGGTTTTGAGTGAGTTTAGCCAACAATTTACCAGCTAAAACATCCCATATACGAACCTCAGTCCCCCCTAAAACATATTTGACAGTAAATGTTAAAATAAATAAAACTTTATTTATAACTTAACTTTAAACTAATTTTATAGATAAAATAATTAATATATTCTTTATAAAGAAAAATATTTATTTACCGGCAGATATAAGTAAACTGCCAGAAGGTAAAAATATTAAGCTTTCTACAGGTGACTCGTGGTCAACCGACATAGTTACTGATTTAGTTCTTGAATCGAACATATTAATTTGTTTGTCATAACCACCAGAAACAACTATATTTTCAGAAACTGGAGAAACACATCCTGCTCTGATATAGTCCTAAATAACAATACAATTACATTTTAGTGACAATATTATGACAAGCCTTAACAGTTTTATTTTTACTAGAGTTAAATATCTATTATAACAAATATAATTTATATTTATTTAMCAAGATTTTTCATGATCATAAAAACTTTAACACAATTTCATTACAAAACATAATTCACCTACATCATAATGCAGCTAATCATTTTTTATTATTACTTTAAAAGTTTTTAAAGGAATAAAACTCGTAATATTAATCTATAATTGATGGTAACTAGGAATGTAAATAATTTAATTATGAAAATGAATATTAGGTAGTGGTTTCCCATTTTCTTTTGCACAATAGGTTTATTGAAATAATTTTGATATTAGAAATTATAGTTTTTAGAATAATAACTTTAAAATAATTGATACTTTTTGGTCAAAGTACTATGCATTACATAGTATATTATATAGACCTGAAAAAGTGACTCACTTGCTTAGATTATTTAGATTCAAACATCCCACAATTTGCTATGTAAAATCATCTTGATAAGTCTTGAATTAAAAACAACATTAAATTCTGATAAATACATATTACAGACTAAGCTAGGATCACTAGCTCACTTGAACTACTTAAATAAAAAACATCCCTAGACTTGTTATTTAATATCACCTTGAGTAGCAAGGCAAGGTTACTCTAAAACTTTACTTATGTGGTATTACATAGAAAATTGAGGAATGTTTTAGATATAAGTTGTCCCAAAAGTACTTATTTTAAAATATTCAAATATTCAATAATAATTATTAAAAATAATATACGAGTTTCAATTTTTTAAATCTAAATGTTAAAAACTTGAAATAATTACCTTATGGTATCCTTCATAATGTCCACTTATTTGTTGACTACTTATATCCCATAAAGAAACAGTTTTGTCATCTGAAAAGCTTGCAATATGATGTCCATCTCTTGTGAAATATGTACGGTGAACAGCACTAAACAAACAAGATTGGACTTTGAAAAGTAAAAATAAATTGTAAGAAAAATGAATTATACTAACGCTTTATGCCCTCTGAACTGTCTCAACATAGTCTTTGTATTAACTTCAAATAATCTCACAACAGATTCCTCGCCACCAGCACATAGTAAATGGCCATCTGAACGAAATGTTGCACCGTAAGCAGCTTCTTTAAATTTATTGAGATTTTTAGTCACAACTTTTGTAACAGGATTATAAACTTGAACCTAAAAATAATTTTTAATATTTAAAAGTAAACTTGGAAAATTTTTTGGAAGAAATACTTACTCGAGCTGAACATGAAATTGCGAAATGATAGGGTGCACGTCCTGAAAAATGTACATAGTCTATAGGACCAAATTCCTTTACTAATACAGGACTCTAAAAAAGTAATAATCAATAAAATACGAAAAGTTTTCAAACATTTAATAGGTAATTACTTACAGTAAGTTTTTTCCAATAAGAGTCTTCTACAGTATATAACTCACTTGGACGAGCAAATGGTTTTACAAAAGATTTTTTGAATGAAGTCATTATTTATTTAGTATACTTGTCTATGGATGTGTCGTTCGCGAACGAACGGATCAAATTGAATGGGTCAAACCCTCAAACCTGTGAACGAAACAATCCACCATTCGGATCGTGAAATAATAGTCGTTCTCGTTCGGATTGCATTGCTACCAACTCAAAATTCTTAATAATGAGTGATCCGAACTTATTATCACAGATTATATAAAACTTATATAATATAATATATAATTTTATTATTATTTTTTATAATTATATTTATATTAAAATTTGATAAAATAAATATTTTTTAATAAAATTTATATTTTTATATTTATTATTATTTATAATTTATATATATTTAATTTTTTTATATAATCTGTGGTACAACTGGCCCTTATAGGTTGAGGCACGATTTAAGATAATATACAGGTTGCCCATCGGCATAATTTATGATAAGGTGAGAACCAAATTGAGTTCATTGTGGTGCTGGAAATTACAGTAAGCGCTCCATGTGAGAGAAAAGTTAACTACCGTATCGCTGCCGGTTGCCTGCAGATTTTAAAATTTTCTATTTTCACTTTTCATTTTATAATGATTACGGAAGAATTATTCTTTTTACTAATTTAATTTTAAAATTTTATGTTATTTTCCAAACATTTAAGATTTTATTGAAGTCTGCTTTCAAGCTGTACAAGTATAACAGTAATAATATATTATAAATTATAATGTAAGTTATATAGATTTTATTATAATTATCAAGCTATATAAAACAACCAATATATTTATTTATGAACTAATTAATTTATACACTTTTCACATTTAGGTACTAGCATTGATTATTTTATTATTATTTTATATTTTAATTATATTCTATAATCAATGGTACTAGCTACTTATTACCTTTTTAATCATGATTGAACTAATTTTGACAACTTTTTTTAGTTCGGCACTGCTTTTATTTGCTTGATTTATACAAAATAACAAAGTTTGCGATTGCGACTAAGTAGTAGTTGAAACTACTTGAAGTATATTTATATGTATTTTAAATCGTGGAATAGAATCTATAATAATTCCAATATTCTATCCCCATTACCTAACCAACATCATGACCAATATGGCCATATACCATAAATTCAAATTATTAAATATTAAGTGTGATAAACTGATAATTAGTTCGAGATTTAAATTGTTATGGTAGAGGGCGCTAGCGTCGTTTTCCACAGCTGCGAGTCAATCTCATCTTCATAGTTCATACTTTTAAACATTTCGGTTTCGGTATAGGTCGATGGGCAACCTGTATATCTTAAATCGTGCTAGGCACTATGCATATTATTATTTATTATAATTAATAATGCGAATTGTGATAAACAGTAAAGTGATTTTCAAAATGTAATAACATTTTATGCCATAATTGTAATATTATTTTATTTAAGTAAATTAATTTTTAAATAATACGATTCCTGTTCGGTGATTCAAGTCAACAAATGTTGGTCAGCATCTATAATAATTGAAAAAAGATTTATAGATTTAAACCTTAACTGTTATCTATTAGTAAATTGTTAAATTGATTATTAAACATTTAAAAATAATACTTCAATTTCTATATAGGCTTCTGATATTAATTGGGTAATTAAATTCTAATTATTTTGTAAAACAAGAATATTTTAAAGAATAGGTACTTTAAAAATTGAATGTTATAATGATTTATTGATGATTTAAAATAGATTCGTAATGGCTGAGAAAGCAGCTCATCATACAAAAACTATTATAAATCGTCCATCAATTTTTGAAGTGATTGCACAAGAAAATCTTTCATCAATAATTTATCCAGCATTAAAAAAATGTTTTATTGTGAGTTCTATTGATATCTTAAATAATTATGTGATCACATTTTACTTTAATTTTTATATAGTATATTACTCATAAAAATCCTGGACAATTGGAATTCCTAAATAAATATTTTGATGAAGTATTTCTAGCACTTAATACTGTATGTCAGTATCAATATTTGAAGAAATATGGTAAGAGAATATTATTTATCTGGTAATCTATTTTTTGTTACACAATACTCTTTAATACTCTTACTTCTTTAATCATGAATTATAATACTGTGTGTTCTAGGAGGAACATTTTCTGAACATTTTTATGATTTAACCAGAGTTTCTAGTATAACCAATTCTAAACCTGACAATTATCAGTTTTATTTGAGCTTAGCTTTAGTGGTTTGTATACCTTATCTACGAAACAAATGTGATATGTATATCGATCAATTACAAATGAAGTATAAACTGCAACTGAAACATGTAATACAATTTTATGTATTTATATAATTAATTTTATTAGTCTTGAATGTCTGACACACAAAAACTAGTCAACGCAAAGTCTGATTCTTAACTTGAATAGAATATAGATTATTATTTAATTTATGTAATTGAATGACATGATAATGTATCTTGTTAAAATCTAAAATATATTTTATCTTTTTAGTATACATTATTTACGAAATTTCATAGTTATAAAAATATTAGTATTTATTACAATCCTGGATATGTTAAGAGATAGRTAAAAAGCATTTGGTGTCTTTGTCATACAAATGTATGCTGACATGATATACGCAAAACTAGCTAAAAAGTTGAACTGTTGTAAAAAAAACCTACATACAAGTATAAATTATGTTTTTACCATCAAGTTTTATAATAAGGCACTCCACTCTAATTTTTAAATTGAACTTGAGTTTAAAGTTGCATTATTAAACACTTGCGTGGGCGGATGGCATTTTTAACCTACTTTGAAAAAAAACCTTTAAATAACCTTAAAAAGGTCCACTTAATACTTTAAGCATATTGAATTATTTACATTTTATACTAATTAATGTATTTTTATTTTATAGAAAGTATTTATAACATTAAATAAAATTGTTCATACATGTTGGGAAACATTACGTTTAATATACTATATAAAATATATCAATGGATCCAGTCAATCACACTCTCCTTTATTAACTATTGTTGGAGTGGTATTAACTTATAACAATATTGAATCTTCAAATAATGAGTCACTTTCTCAACTAAGGTAAATCAAATGGGTATTTAATATTTTTATAGTTACGACAAATATAAATTTATTTCTATACTCTGTCTCATATTAGAGTAATCTGATTTTTGTCTGTTTGTCAGACTCGACCTTTTAATTAAATGATTTTTATTATATTTTGATTCTTATGATCACTTGCAGCTGAAAAAATTATTTACCATTTTTGTTTTTACATTAGTAATAAACAAGTTTGGTGGTTGTTCAGTTGTTGGCATAACAAAGTGACGCTCTCGGCAGTGTAACATTTGACACACATTAACTACAGGCTGCATCATTGTTGCTACTACCAAAAATATGAGACAGAGTATATATTAAACTAAATTTTATTTTATTTTCTTGTATTTTGTATATTATTATATATAATTCAATAATGAATTTACCGATTTTCAGTATTAAGGAATCTATTAAAAATTATTTATTGTATGGATTATCTCACTCCTTGGAGTTAGGTGCCTTTTTTATTCAGTTTTTAAATTGGTGGCACTCTGAAAATTTACAATCAAAATTTATTGCCTACCCAATACCTAATCCTCCTAAGGTATGTMTTATGATCTTGTTTATTGCTATACTCATGATATAAGCAACATGGTATTATGGGTAATATTGTATAATTGATCAGATTGAGTTCTACACAATATGTTACTTACCTACCCATATTATCATTAAAATTATACCGACTTATGGCATATATATATATGTCATGTACCTACTAAACCTCAAAAGATCTGACTGTTATAAGATTATAATCATATCATGATGTTTATATCATGGCTTTACTTTGTATTGAATTAATAAAAATTATATTAAATCAAAAACCACAGGAAAATGATACATATAAATCAGTCAGAAACACTAATAAGTGTCCTATATGTGAAAATGAAAGAAAAATGCCAACCGCGCTTACTGTATCAGGGTATGCTATTATAATTTTATTTATTTAAATACATTTTATTATAGTATTATGGGTACAATCTATAGTGTAGGTACATTAAAAATATTATTATATTATTATGAATTATAATTTATTAATTCTGGTAGTCAATTGGTAATAAACTTATTGATACTGCATCTTAGAATCCTTCATTGTTTATACAATTCAGAGTCAACATAACGGAATGAAAAAAACTATTCTTAATTTCTATAGATTTGATAATCTAGTTAATGGTTTGATAACCAATATAGCAGGGAAGGCACAACGAGGCTCGAGAGTGAGTCTTGTGTGGCTCTTGACACCAAGCTTAGAGTAAAATTAATTCATATAATATAAAAAGCACTTTTCAAAAGTAAAATCCCATTTCATATTGTGCACCTACCTGAACAATAATTTTCTGCCTAGTGTACAAAATGAATAATCCTTTATTATAAAATTAAAAATGTGTTTACATTTTATAAACATACTTACCTATCTTAATAATGTAGCCCACTTCGAAATAGCTTCATAATTTTGCGGCTCTCAAAATTAAAGTTAGTGGCCACAATATATAGTTATTGCTTGGTTGTGCAACTTGGTATCTAACATTAAAGTTATAAATTATTATGGTTAAAGACACTTCTTTATAATCTCAATTTCCCAATATTTGTTGATGCTGTATCAATTTGTTTAGTATCCATGTTATATACTCTAGCAGGGATTCTCAAATGATTGAAGCAAAAAATGTGTTGATAATTGTAAAAAAAAAATAACAGTTTTCAAGGTTAGCTATGTATTGGTTAGGATTTTAGATTTTCTTCAATTATTGTTGATTAGTAATTTTTTACTTGCTAAAAAATCTTTGAAATGTAATTCAAAGTTTATCATATGTTACAAAGATTTATTAACCTAAAATAATATATCACATTTGGTCCTATCACTAGTTTGTCTCCTTCCTCGTATAATTCATAGTTAAATTGTACAAAAATCATCATATTTGCTTATTGTGCTTCTTTAACACACATTTTAAACTTATATGCTTTATAAATTAAAAAGAAGTGTCAGTATTTCAAATTTTTGCAACATTTGCAAAACATCACAAAAATAACGAATAATTATTCTGAGTTGGAACTTGATATAAAATACTCTTTATCTATCTAAGATTTTAAGATTTATTACTGTATTCCTGATTTTTTTTTACCTTAAAGGAAACGTTGAATTTTCACCTGTAAATTAATTATTTTCTTATTTTGTCATTATTCAAAACCCAATACCAAAACTTGCTTGAAATTTTTACCAAATATTTATTTTAGCATTTTCCATACATCATAATATTTAAAACATATGTTAACTATTTTTGAACTATTGATTTGTGTAAGAATGTTTCTTTTTTTTTTCTATAACTAGAGATAAAAAATGTTGACAATATTTTATCTGTCATCAAAATTCGATAATTATTTTGTAGTTGAAAATTTAGTTTCTGAACGATTTAGTTCATAGTTTACTAATTTTGTTCATACTGTAACCAAAAAATCAAAAAAAATACATCAACGTAGATTTCTTTAAAAGATATTTTTTAAGTTCAAGTTTTGATGAAATTAGATATTTAAACTAAGAATAACAATTTTAGATATTTTGTTGTAGTTTAAAAATATTTGTGAAACTAGTGATTGACTGACTTTAATGAATTCAAAGGTTTCAAATCCATTTAAGTGACCTACACTATATCTAATGTACATCAAATTATTAGAATGGTACTGCCCACTTTTTAAACAATAAGAGTGTATATAAATAATAATTTAAGCACATTTTCAGTATATTTATTAGGTATAAAGTAGTTTTATGAAATATAAATGTATTAATTTTCCGTACTATCAATACATGTGTACCACTATGTTTCCTTCTGTATGCCAGTTTAAGAACTGCTGCTCTGTAATATAGTCATACATTTATAATAATTGCTAATATTTATTTGTATATTAAAAAATGTTAAATTGATTGTACAATTATTTTTTCATGATTTTTATTTTACTTTTTAAATTTTGTGCTTAGGTTTGTATACTGTTACAAGTGCTTACATAAACATCTTGTGGGAGTATATTCTAGATGTCCAGTTACTAAATTACCAGCATCAATGCAGGATATGATCAGAATTTACACAGATAATTAATCATTGTATAATAATTATATGCAAATGGTAATTGGTATATTTTCACTAAAATTTGATTGTTAAATAAACTTATATATGAATGTTATGATATTTTTAATTATAATAGTATAATATAGCATAGGTGTCTATGTATTAGATATATTTCATACCAAATTATTCAAACTAGGACTAACTTAACTAACCTAGAATCAGTCGGTTTTGAGTTGTAATATTACACAAATTACTGTAACCAAATAAGTTTTGCAGTAATTTCCCTATATTTTATTTAAATTAATGCAATATGTTACCTTTTTCGTTATTAAAATAAGTTGTGAATTTAGAATATTAAAAATAAATTAAATAAATTTAAAATTCTGAAAGTCTTAGGTAATAATTAATAATACTAACTATTATTTAAGATCCCTATCATAGGCATATTGTGTTTTTCAATAGGATTCTCAAGTGTTCATTTCTATCCCCCACAGATCTAATTTTCTTATTAATGCTATTATAGCCAAAAATATAATCATAATTAAACATATCCTTTATACTACAGACAGGTTTAAAAATCCAATAGAGTGAGCTTCGCTTGTTTTATTTATTTTGTTTTTAGTCAGTCAATTTTGTAATGTTCATTTTCATGCTAATTGTTGAGATTTAGTATAGTTTATTCATGTTGAAATCTCATTTTAATAATTACAATAAATAAACCAGTACAATTTTTTTCTTCGTATAACTATGTCTGGAAGTAGGCCCGGACGCCTATTTGGCAGAATTTCTATTGGGGCACTTGCCCGGAGAAAAATGTCGCCCGATGGTCGAGGATCGAACCCGGTCCGGCTGAGCCACAGCCGACATGTAAGACCGCTCGGTCACCTCGTCCCCCAGCAGGGCCGGATTAAAGAGGGGCAGAGGGGGCATCTGCCCCCGGGCGCAAGATTTTAAAGGCGCAAAGTTTTGAAATATTGTGGGTACCATTTAGAGTGAAAAAACTATTAGCGATTACGACAGTGTACACGGCGCGCAAACTCACATACGCGTTTTCACGAATTTACCGATATCTGAATTACAAATAATAACTACAGTCACAGAGTCCGCGCCATAATAATAATTAATAATTAAATAAATATTAAATCATGTTTACAAAATTGTTATTTTAATAAATGTATTTACATTGTTTAGGTATATAGTAATATTAAAAAGATTGTTTTCATATAATTTTAATATATTTCTAATATTATATAATAATAGCCAAATTATAGTAAAACAATGTTATGTTTATGTATTATTAAAAAGTAGTTCTTAATTTTAGGTAGGTTTGCCCCGGGGCGCAAAAAATCTTAATCCGGCCCTGTCCCCCAGTATAATGTATAACATTACATCATTACTTATACATTATAGATTCATACGTTCAAAAAAAGGGAATGAGTTTTATGATTTTTTTTTCTTTTCAAAAGCATTTAACCACCACCTAAATTGATTTCAGTGTTAACAATAAAATGTAAGACACTTAAATGAGTTACTAACGTAAATAAAATTTTTTTTAATATTAATAATGTAATTTATTACTTTTATTTATAAACACATGATTTTGATTTGTCTTTATAAATAAACTTAAATTTACAAAAAATATTTTTATAATATATTCACATACAAATAATATTTTATCATTCAGATGTTGAAATTGCATTTATATATTAGTTGTTTTTCAAAAGGAACTTTTTAACATGTTCAATCTGAAAATTATTAAATGTAATATATTTAAAAAAATGTTTGGTTCAACCAAAATTATATCATTAGTAAATAACATAATTAAATAAATACAAACCATTAACATTAAAACCAGGCACTTCTTCTCCTTCACTGTCTCCTGACATTTCATCGGCATTTGGTGCTAGATAGATATCAGAAATCTCACGACCAGCACTCAGTGAGGTGAATAAAGGTACAAGTTCGCCTTCGCCACTACTAACTGCTAAATCATCTAATTTTTTATTTAATTGAGAAATTTCAGTTTGTAATTTTTCTTTACGTAGTTTATTCCATTCGACACGATATTCCCTTAATATTGTCGGAACTATTAATATTTTAGTATTAAATAAAATAAAATTAAATATTACTTTTGAAACTCATCAGCTGCTGCATCAACCATCTTAATAAATTCATCAAAATTATGGCCTGTCAACGAAGATACTGGAATACATTTTAGTTCATTATAAAATTCATCTAAAGTTAATGCCATAGTACGAGTCAAATTTGACATATACGATGATTCATTTTCTACAGCATCACAAAATACTTCAAAATCATGCATCCATTCAATTGCATAAGTTGGGTCAACAATATCACTCTAAATAATCAAATAAGTATAAGAATTTATATATAATACATTCATACCGTGTTTGCGTTGTCTCCATCTTATAATTGGTTAACATAGCAAAAACTGTTTCATACGGGAAAGAACTGAGAAGTCTATAGTTATAACTAGAGCTCAGATTTTAAAGCAAATGTTTTTTTTTCATATATGAGATAGAAATCTAACTTTTATACATAAATTCGTTTCACGTCATTCTTATTCCAAATAAACCATTTTATTTCTGCTTCTTTTTATTTATTCTGCTTGTATATTATGTTTTTTTGGCTATAGTAATATAAAAGTAATTTAATTATTCAGAAAATTCGGAATACGCAGTATAGACTAAATGGTTATAATGCATTGTTTTCTATATATGTATAAAAATATTCTGTCAGACAATAGTCAGTTTCACTAATGGAAATCTTGCCAAATACATAGAAGTGAATTCTTTTTTTAATTTAAATTAATTTGTCAATTTTTTTATTCAGTTTTACAACTAATTCATGTTAATTTTTTTTTTTAAAAATATGCCTAATTTTTGATTTTTTAAAAACAATTATGTGAATTTTTTTTAATTCTTTGTTTTAAAATCTGAGCCCATAATAAATGGAAGTAATTGTTAAATTAAATAAAAATAAAAGAAATAATAAAGTATTATTTAAACAAACCTTGTTTAAAACTACAATAAATGGAAGTTTTGTTTTGTATAATACAGAACAGGCATATAACATGTTTGACATAAATGTTATTGGACTAGTACTTCTTTCTAGATCCATAACATAAACTACAACTGTTGGGAATGTTGATGCAAGACTTTCAGTAAGTATTTGACCTGATGCTGACCATGTAAAAACTTCAATTTGTCCAGGTGTGTCTATAACAGCTATATCATGACTGTTTTCAACATTTAATTTTCCTAGAAGGTCCATCAACTGATGAAATTTGGTGGTATATAAATTTAAAGCGGTTACAATTGCACCATTAGGACCCAAACCGTAATTCTTCATCACTTGTTTGTATTTCACAGAATCTCTAATATCTATCAGTAATAAAAATATATTAAGTACATACCTCATATATATTTTATAGAATAAAATTGTATAACGGAAAATACCTATATTTGGTGTGTATGGCATATTTTTACAAGCTGGGTCGAGATTTATCAAATACGGGGCCCTTTTGAATTGTCGAAGGTAAGTATTGAGTTTTGAAACAAATGTAGTTTTCCCTGAGCCGGCCATACCCAACACTATGAGACAGACAGGAGATTTAAAAGCCTCGTATTCAGGTTTATCTTCAATAGCATCGCTACTGGATGGGGTTTCACCGTCGCAATCCATATTAAAATTATTTATAATAAAACGTTCGTCTAATCTAAAATTTAAATTAGAGTAAAAACAAATTATGAGACATAAATATATAACACTTATATTATGAAGTGAACGGACGTAAAAAAATTAACAACCTCAGAGCATTGCTCATACAAGTATACAACATTAACACATAACAGGCAAAAATTTATAATTACAGCATAGCATAAATGCTTCATAATATTATGCTTCATACAGTCAGTGTTGTACAGTGTACACATGTATATTATCTTTTATCATTATTAATTTAACGACACTCAAAATATCATCATTATCACAGAACATATAGATAATAACCATGGTATGACATTGTTAACTGCCATTTATGAGCGGAACATACCATTATAACCTTACAATATAGCAGTACGAAACGTGCGTAAATGGTAAATCTGATGTTTATTTGAATATAAGATTTTAAATTTTTATCTTCAATTATAATATTTTTAAATTTTTTGAACTTACTAATTATTTGTAGTGCAATTTTTAGTTTATTAAAAAATCATCATGGTTCGTAAAAAAATCGACAATCGTATCAGAACACTAATTGAAAATAGTGTTACAGCTGGTCATCGTACTATGTTTGTAATTGTTGGCGACAAGGGTCGTGATCAGGTAATATAAATCAATATTTTCTTCATAATATTTGTATTGTGGAGTTGTAACTTTTAAATAATATAACAGTTTGTTTTAAACTGTAAGGTATAAAAATTTATTTATTTTTGGTTAGTTGTATGATATAAAAAAAAAAAAAAGAGCAACTAATTATTTTATACGTACCTATTTCAGGTTGTTATATTACATCATATGTTGTCAAAAGCATCCGTCAAAGCTAGACCAAATGTATTATGGTGCTACAAAAAAGAATTAGGTTTCAGCAGGTATTTATATTTTTTTTAACTTAGTCAACTGAAATTATTTTTCAAAATTATATTTAGCCATCGTAAGAAGCGTATGAAAACTATACAACATAAAGTTAAAGCGGGTAAACTTAATGTAAATGAAGATGATCCATTTGAATTATTTGTTGCTTCTACAAATATCCGATATTGCTATTATTCAGAAACTCATAAAATTCTTGGCAACACATACGGCATGTGTGTATTACAAGTAAGATAAACTAAAATTATCCTTTTTAATTAATTCATAATTCTATTATTATTGTTTTAAGGATTTTGAAGCCATGACTCCAAATTTATTAGCACGAACTATAGAAACAGTAGAAGGTGGTGGGCTGATAGTATTTTTATTACGGTCTTTGAAATCTTTGAAACAATTATATACCCTAACCATGGATGTTCATGAGCGTTTTAGGACTGAAGCTCATCAAGATGTTGTTGCTAGGTTTAATGAAAGGTAAAATGTTTTTTAGGTCTTTTCAAAACAAACATTTTTGTATCAATTTTTATTTGACCAGGTTCATGCTTTCTTTAGTATCATGTGATCGATGTTTAGTAGTTGACGACCAATTAACAGTGTTACCTATCTCATCCAAAGTACTTGATTTAGTACCTGAGGAAAAAACTAATATTCAATCAATTAATGATCAAGAATTAACAGCGTTAAAAGAAAATATGAAAGACACACAACCAGTTGGATGTTTAGTTAGTTGTTGTAAAACTGTTGATCAAGTAATAAAATTAATAGTTATTTTTAATAACTAATTATTGTTGTACTACTTTAAGACATTTTTTTAAATAGTGTTAAATTTTAGGCAAAATCATTACTAACATTTATTGAAGCAATTTCTGAGAAAACTCTAAGATCTACTGTATCCTTAACAGCTGCTCGAGGTAGAGGAAAATCTGCTGCTCTTGGAATAGCAGTTGCAGCTGCCGTTGCGTTTGGTTATTCAAATATTTTTGTTACTTCACCTTCACCTGAAAATTTAAAAACATTTTTTGAATTTATTTTTAAGGGTATTGAATATAAATTTGTGTTTATAATATGATATTAAATACTTATTTTCGAATTTTCATTAAATAAGGTTTTGACGCTCTTGGATATCAAGAACATTTAGATTATGGATTAGTTAGATCAACCAATCCTGATGATAATAAAGCCTTGGTTCGAGTAAATATTTTCCGAGATCATCGTCAAACCATCCAAGTTWGTTCTATATATTTTTAAATTATAAATTATTTTAAACAGTATTTGTTAAAATATGTTTTAGTATATAGTTCCAACAGAATCAAATAAATTAAGTCAAGCAGAATTAGTTGTAATTGACGAAGCTGCTGCTATACCACTTCCACTTGTTAAGGCCATGCTTGGTCCGTATCTAGTATTTTTGGCTTCTACAATCAACGGGTAAATTGCATTTTATTAAATGTTAATAGTATAATATTTTAGAAGTATATTTTCATACCATAAACATTTATTCTGATCTGCTAGTGAACACGTAATCTTATTTTAAAATTTAATTTAGTCAAAATTATAATATCTGTTTCAATGATTCCATAAAATTTTTTATTTCCTTAATTGTTAGTAATTTAATAGAATTTTTTGATTTATCAAAAACTGCTAGTTCTCAAAAATTATTTTTTAGCACATTCTTCAATTAGGTTTTACCTTTTGTTGAGTTCATGTGATGAAACTTTTAGTTCAATGTTTATAATATCTGTATTTTATATTTTTTATATCAATTAGTTTCTATTAGTAAAGTAATTTTATGATAATCTCCTCGCCAACATGTTAGATAACATTATAATATTTACTTATTGATAATAATCGAGAATATTGACAGATAAAAGCTTTATGTCTAACCATCCTATCTTTCATTGGGTGGGGGTTTTCTGGCCGAAGGTTTTGTGATCGAAAAGTCATCTGGTCGAACATATTTTTCAACGATAAATATAATATCGAAAATTTAAATGGTCGAAATGTTATGTAAACAAAATATGCTATGGTCATTGATTAAATATATATTTTGAGTTAAATATTTAAAAAAAAAAAACAAAAGTAAATAATTAAAAATTAACTAAAATAGAAAATAGGTATTATATTATGTAAAAAAAAAAAGTTGTAAAATATTAAATTAATTGGTGCCTGATGGGTATAGATAATAGTATTACTTGTAAGTATTAGTATAAATAATATAATAAGTAATTAAAATTTTAAATTTTGAGCTATTCCTCTTAAATAACTCTAATAAATCATAACCTGGATCAGCTAATAACATGTATCGTAATGCACGGGGAGGACTGAGGAGTTATCAAATATTCTCGATTATCGAGTGTAGTATTACCCGTATAGTCTAGATAGTAGATATAATAATAATTATTATACCATAAACAGTTATACTATTATATGATAATATTATTCTGTGAAAGTTTACCTTTGAATTTACATGATTATTTGTTTTTAGAAAAAAATATTAAATATACAATATTTATTTTGTTTATTGAAAAATCTCAGTGGGTCCAATGGCACAGATAATCATTATCTTTACTTCAACCACAAAATATTTCGACTTTATTAATAAGATATTCGACAAAAAAACGATTCGATCACATGACATTTTGATCACTAAACCTTTGACCAAATGACTCTCACCACTTTCATTTGTTAACAGTTATTTTGTTCCTAAATAATAGTGTTAATGTTTATTGTGTTTATTATATATATATAAACAAATACAATATTACTTAAGCGATAAGCCAAATCTTATACTTAACACTTGACATTATATAAAACACAAACTGTGAATTAAGATGATGTGTGTCTTATAAGCAGTAACATAAAAAATGTACAGTATTTCTCATAAGCAGTTTACCTATTATTAATGTTAAGTGTACTAATATTTTCTGTGAATTTTAATTAAATTTTATTTTTATTTTTTCAATATTTTAATTTTGAAACAAATAACAAATGTGTAATTAATTAGTTTTTAAAAATGCACATAACTTGCTTCAAATATGAAATATTGAATAAATACAGTATAAAACTAACAAAGCTAAATGAGAACTGATGATACGTAAATTTTTAATGGTAAGTAAGACTGTTGAAATGTCCATATATCTTTAGGGAATCCTACATTATAAGCCTTTTCAAAAAAAA